TAACCCCTCAAATGAAATCTGGAGACGTAGTCAAGCGAAACAATAACGAAACTGACGAGATTATATATGAAAGATTAAAACAGGCACTGCTAGACCTGAGAGGACCGACACAAGCAGATTGGAGCAAAATTTTAGAAATCAAACAAGCAAGTAACGAGTCTTTTGAGACATACGCCGAGCGTTTATGGGTAACCTACAAAGAACATGCGGGCCTTGAGAACGCGAGTTGTTTACCAGTACCAAAATCGAATGGTAAATGGCGTCTGTGCATCGACTATCAACGTCTCAACAAAGTTTTGCCCAAGGCTACACCTATCGTGGCAAATCCATCAACATTACTGTCGCAGATTTCCACTAATCCGTCGTGGTTTACTGTGCTCGACATAAAGAACGGTTTCTGGTCCATAAAAGTCAGGCGCGAAGATCAGTGTAAATTGGCCTTCACTGTGAACCAAATACAGTATACATGGGAACGAATGCCACAAGGCCCACATAACAGTCCTGCAATTTTCCACAGAGCATTAGAAGATGCGCTAAATCCGCTGACAGGGACAGGAAACGTGATTCATTATGTTGATGACATACTCATTGCAACTGATGGATCATTTGATGATCATTTACACCTGGTTGATGAAGTACTGTTGACACTCGGTAAAGCTGGTTTCAAATTGAACAAAGAAAAGGCTCAAATTGCACAAAAAGAAGTCCAATACCTGGGCTATACAATCACACCGAGCCACCGATCGTTAACAGATGACAGACGAAAATGCATAGCCGAACTGCCCCGACCACACACATTAAATGCTTTACAGAAGGTTTTAGGAACCGCAAACTATCTAAGAGATTTCATTCCAGATTTCGCTAACATCGCTGCGCCACTGTACTCTCTCTTAAAGGGAAAATCAAAGCCCTCAGACGTTCTTGAATGGACAGAGGGGCACGGAAAAGCCTTTACAGACTTAAAAGAACAATTATGCTGCGCACCAGCCCTGGGTCTGCCCAACCCTTCAAAGTCTTTCCACTTACAAGTTGATGCTACTGAGAACACGTTAAGCGGCATTCTAGCTCAAGATCATGGGGGAAAACTGCGACCAATTGCATATTACAGTAGAAAAAAGTCTCCAGTAGAACAGGGATTTGACCAATGTACACAGCACGTGTTGGCGGTTCATTGGATGTTGACAGCAACAGAACCTATTGTAGGTTTTCAACCTGTTGTTATACATACAATGCACACGCCAGTACAAATGTTGTTACAGGGCCGAATAAAAGGTGTATCAGCACAGAGATTAGCAAGATGGCTAGCAGATATACAGGCCCGTGACATCACAACAGTTAACAGCCGAATTCTACCACATTTATTGGGAGATGTGGAGGGCCATCCACACACATGCCAAACCAAACAAGAAACACAGAGCCTTGTCCATGACCAAAAACTCCCGGATCAGACTCCGGTGTACATTGATGGCTCCAGATATTGGCATGATGGTCAATTTCACACAGGATGTGCAGTGTGGACCCCTCACTCTCCCAATTCAAATGCTAAACAATTGCTAATCAAATTACCCGGAAACACATCAGCACAAGAAGCTGAACTCATTGCGTTGCTAGAAGCAATCAAGTCACACCATGAGCCATTGTGTGTGTACACTGACAGCCGTTATTCATTTGGTGTAGTTCATGATTTTATGGCACAATGGCAATTGCGAAAATTTCTCACCTCTGCCGGAACACAAATAAAACATTTTAACATCATAACCTCAATCTGGCATTCAATCAAAATGCGTGATTCACCACTATCAGTTATTAAAGTGCGCGCACACATCAGCCGAAGCCCAGACGAACATGAGAAAAACAACAACATCGCAGATCAACTAGCTAAACTAGCAGCGGTAAAAGGAGACGACTGGCAGCTTGATAAACTGAGCACTCCTGCAATAAGTGCAGTACAAACCACTCCCATTGATCTAAAACAATATCAACAAGAACTGTGGAACACAGATGGAGTGCTTGTAACGCATTTACAGCAGGATCAATTAGTCAAGGTCACTGAGGGCATAATTCTGAGAGATGGAAAATACGTTGTCCCCGATGCCCTCCAAAAACCAGTGATAAAGTTATACCATGATTATGCACATGTCTCAGCTCCCAAAACACAACAGCTGATACAAAATTACTTCTGGTGGCCAGAAATGACATCAGACATTCAAAGATGGTGTGACACATGTATTGTATGTGCTACCATCAACCAAGGTAGACCAGGACGCACAAAGCTGTGCAGACCAGAACCACCCAAAGGACCTTGGGAATTCTTGCAGTTAGATTTTATTGGTCCGCTACCCAGTGCCAGAGGGGGGTATCGTTATTGCCTCGTAATAATTGATAAATTCTCAAAATGGGTTGAAGTGATCCCCACCCGCAATAACAGTGCAAACACAGTGGCACGAGTGTTAGCAAACCAAGTTCTTCCCCTCTGGGGAGCTCCAGTTCAAATTGAATCTGACCAGGGAACCCACTTCACTGGCCAGATAATGAAATTCATTTGCAAGATGCTAAACATCAAACAAAGATTTCACATTTCGTACAGACCACAGAGCTCGGGAATGGTGGAACGTTCGAATCGCACAATCAAAGAAAGCATCTCAAAACAAATAATACAACACAAGAACAGGTGGACTGATGCATTACCCACAGTACTAACGGTACTGCGGGCAACTCCATCAAAGTCCACGGGCATCAGCCCATTCGAGCTCATGACTGGAAGAGTCATGAAACTACCCATAGACCCAGAAATCACTTCAGCAGATCTGGGACCTCTCATGATTGCAACCCAACAGACTGTGTTGAAACAACTACAAGACAGACTCAGTGTGTTACACACACAAGCCACTCTGAAACAACAGCAGTCTGACTTGATGAACGATACACATTTCAACCCGAACTCTGAGATAAAATTCTCAGAGGGTGACATAATAATGATACGAGTTTTTGTGAAACAAGGCCCATTCACACCTCGATGGCACGGGCCATATGAGGTCAAAGCAGTCTGCAACAGCTGCATTGCCATAAATTTCAAAGGAAAACTGCGATGGTATCACATGTCACAGTGTAAATTATTCAAGGGTAAACTAGATGAATAATGGTTGTTGTTTTTCCTCTTTCTGTCTCCTAGGTTGACTGCAGCAATCCCATGGAGACCGGACGAGAGAAAAATATCCGGGCCCACGTGCATCAGACTGGGCCAAAGGGTTTCACTCACACACAACCTGAAATGCGGAAGGTGGGTGTGGAAATATTCCAAGGGGCCTTCCACACCTGAAATTGCAGTGGTACCAAAAGAGATAGTTATATGGCCTCCCGGATTAGCACCGGATCCAAATTGCACCTCAAGAATTTGTTGCAGCTCAGGTAGCACACACCCACCGACAGAAAACATTTCAGGATACACACATGCACCAAAATTCGTACACAACATCACCGCCTGGTATCAACTTAAAACCGATCCAGGGATCATGAACACATTATATGAGAAGAACAACGATGGTATTGATCCAAAGCTATGCTATCTTATAAAAAATTTGGAACCTTTTACATATAGGTGCTCACACACTAAAACACACAACACCACACACCTAAGGTTCACAGAATCAATTTACAACCTTACCTCACTTACACCAAACGAACAAAAACCAAAAACTTTTGTGTGGACTAACCGAAAGGAAGGAACTTATTGTGTGGGAGAATGTGAATCTAGCATGGACAATTTCACCAGCCCACACAATTGTTCATGGACTGTCCATCATTGCTTTAATTTAACCACCTGTGGTTACACTAGGCCCAGGCAATGCCCAGAATTGCACCCAATTCCTCCTGGTGGACTGATTAGAGGAAATGTAAATAAGACATTATTACATGATGTAAATTTAGTAATGACACATGTAACATACAATATTTCAAATGTTCTCTCTGCTTACAAAGAACACTGTAACGATGATGATGAATCCTATGCATGGCTACAATCACGATTCGATGATTTAATCTCTGATTACAAAAGCAGACTCGCTGTTCAAATTTCACCTGCTCGGTCAAAACGAGACCTGTTAGGCAATATAGCCGGCTTATTTGGCTCAATCAATTCAGCATCTAACTCCTACAAAATAACCCAACAATCTCAATTCTCTACATGGTTGGCAAACCAGATAGCTACTGGATTCCAACATCTCACCAATAGCAACGAAAACATCATTGTATTGTATGTGCTACCATCAACCAAGGTAGACCAGGACGCACAAAGCTGTGCAGACCAGAACCACCCAAAGGACCTTGGGAATTTAAACAGAAGGAATGACAATCTGGTACATGACATTCAAATCAGCATCACTTTCAGTATTAGAGCACCATTTGAGCATTAACAAGTAATTCTCCACAAAATAAGCAACTTCTTTCTTGCTAACCTTGTCTGGAGAAACAACAGAGGCAAAACATTTGATTAAAGACATACGACACAACACGAACACGTAACGCATGGAAAAATTTAAATACAGGGAATGTTACACATTACTATTCTCTTTGTTCAGTAACTGTTTGTGTTTCACAGGTTTCTCCCTTTCACACATAATGGTGTTGATTCTTTGTATTTCTGCATCTGGATCTGCTCTTCTCCTCTGCTGTCTGGTCTACTGCAGATCACATGATAAAGGTAACTCAGAAGGAATTAACTAGAGGTTTGTGACACAATAACAGTTGTAGTAGTAGTAGTAGTAGTCCAATGATGTAAAACCACTGACAGTTGACACACAATTCTCTTTCGCTGTTTTGCATTAGAAAGTCACTTATAAATATTTATAGTTATTTCTTATTGCACAGTTTCCATAAATCTAAATTTTAATAGTATTTTTTCGTGCAAACTTCCGTTTTGAAATTTTCACTTTTCACTTTAAAATTAGAAATTAGACGTCTATTCTTTTTCAGGTTTCCTTGTGCAACATTGTTGTAACCAGATTTTTCTGGGATCTTCAGTGGTTTTGCCCTGTTATGTTGACAAACACTTATTAAACCAAAGTCTGGTGGTGGAATGGAGAAGAGCAGACTCAGAGACTCTGGTTCATCTGTATCAAGATGGTGAGAGTCGACCAGAGTCCCAGCAGCAGCCCTGTTCTGTTGATGAACTTTTATCAATGGAGGGTCTGGAGGTGGAATGGAGAAGAACAGACTCAGAGACTCTGGTTCATCTGTATCAAGATGGTGAGAGTCGACCAGAGTCCCGGCAGCAGGATTATCATGATAGAGCTCATTTCTTTACTGATCAGATTCAACATGGAAACTTCTCCCTCCGTCTGGACAATCTGAGAGCTCAAGATGAGGGACCATACACCTGTACAGCTTACAGAAATCAGACATCCGTGTTTTCATCTGAAACTAATTTGGAACTGAGGCTACAAGGTAAGTCAGCCTTGATACATAGTTTATTTTTTTACTTTTGCATAATATTAAGGTTAAACATTACTAGATGTGCACATAAATGTCTAATGTTGTTTTGCACCACTGCTCAGGTTGTGCTTTTACTAGTTTAATTGCAGTTTGTTCAAATGTCTTCACACAACGTTAAGGCTGACACTAATATAGACATATTCGTCATGTTGTCATTATCACTTGACCAACAGCATCAATTGTGTCACTTGAGTCATTCACAAATCCTAAGACTAAAAGTCTCATAAAAGTTTTGCAGAACGTTATGTAATATGTTGTGTACATGGTGTGTACACAACATGGAAGATGGAAAACATGGAAAATTGGAAGATGGCGCCTGTGCATTCGGCATGCCGTCTGTTGCTCTCGTGTTTGCTTGTCTGGTTGTCTGCTCTGTCTTTAAACTGCTACACGCTTTAAATCTACAACCGTCAAGCACTCTTGGACATCCGCAACTCAATTGCGGACATATTCACCAACTCTTACACTCTGGATGTGGACTGCTCCTTTGGTAATAGGAATGAGTCGTTCCAGGCGGCTATCCCGGATTGTATCTGCCGGTGGCCCCTCCGCATCCTACGGAGAAAGCGAAGGAGGAAACGAGGCAAACGCGGAGGATACATCGTTTCCTTAGTATATTGACTACTGTGATATGGAATTTTTTAAATGTGCGGTTTTAAAGTTTTGTCCGGTTTGTTCTCTGTGTATGTGGTAAAATTGTTACTCTTCTGGAAAGCACTTTGGTCAGCCTGGTGGCTGTTGTATATGTGCTCTACAAATAAAATGAACTTGAACTTGAACTTGGTGTTTACACCTAATATAAAATGGGACCAATATTGCATTGCATGTTATTTACCATTTAATTCAATTGTTATTTTGTATTTTCTCTCCAGACACAGTCTTCCGTCTTCAGATGTTTCTCGTCTTCTGTCCAAATATGATCATGTTTCTTTCGTTTGTCCTCTGGGGTGTTTCTGAAGGTGAGTGTTCTAGTAGTGATTGTATGTTGGTGTATATACTGCATATCAAATGATTTACTAATACAGCAGTAAATCTAATGACTGATACCTGCTTTTGTTTCAGGGTCTCTGAACGAGTCGGTCTCTTGCTGTGCTCTTTATTTTCTGAGGCCTCTTATGTTGCTCTGGGCAGCTCCATATGCTCATGAGTTCACAGGTTATGGTTAATTTATGATGAGTGTCCATTTATTACATGAAATACACTGTATGTACTTTGTCCAAACAAATAACCTGAATACATTAAGAAGTGTTCAGTGTTTTATTGCCATTTGTGCTGTATTGTGTTGGTGTTGTATGATATTGTGATTCATTATTTTGTACCTTTCTGTTTCTTACAGGCAAGACTAAAACATTTATTCACAATTACAGTTATGACACAGAATACATTGTTTTATCAACTGTTTTTTATTCAGGTAAACAAATCCAAATGTAAAGCAACAGCCATTATCATAAACACATGAAATGCACATTTAACAGTTGTATGTCGTTGTATATACAAATATAGTAAATCTATAGTAATAAGAAATTCAATGTGCTATCAATTTATAGCAGATTCTGAATGTGTTCACTGGTTTAAAACAAAAAACTAAATTAAATATTTTTACTAAATATTGTTTTATTAACCTTAAATTACTTCTGTAGCTTTTTTGTGTTATTTTTCTAATGTGTATTTATATTTTGTTTGTTCTTCTGTTTAGTAATGGTTGCTTTTATATTTTTCTCTCTTCCAGTTCTGTTTAAATCTGCCTGGGACAAAAGTTTAAATTACACCGGATTTGAAGGTGTCACGATAATATTCATCTTTGTGACTGTGCTTCTGCTAAACCTCATCTATATTATTTTATGCAAGTATTTCTAGTACCGGTGGCATGTATGTGCATGTGAAAATGTTTTATCAGATTAACACAAAATATAAAAATCATAATATCTGATCTAATTAGATCAGTGGACAGATCTAGTATTTAAGTTGATTTACACAGTTTAAGAATTACAGAGATTTGTTTAGTTATGATTTAGTCTTTACTACAGTAACGTTTTAATTAATATACAGTGAGCGATGATTAAATTGATGCCCCAAAGCATCAGTCACTCATGTGAATGTCACAAACAGTTCTGCAGTATATAATTTTGTTTCTTCGACACAGTTTTAACCTATGCATTCATGACATTAATTCAAAAACATACTGAACGTTTTATTCCTTTAATTCATTGCTGTTTTTTCTTATACAGTGTTGGCGAGATTCATCTGGAAATTAAGCCAACAGATTATTACTATTTTCAGGGTTCTGGCTAGAATAAGCTTTGATATTTTGCCTTCATTACAATTCCTCCTCCTGTTCTTCGCCTTTGGATCTGCCAGATCTGGTAAATTTACCTTTATGAACTATTTATGTTCATTTGTAAGTAATGGTGAAAGGAAACATTATTCCCTATTCAACAGTGTTAAAATCAAAGCGTTCATATTTCAGTAAGAAGTTTAAAAATATATATATTTTTTCATAACATACCTTTCAAATGTTACATTATTTTTTAAATGCATAGCAAGTTAATTTGATTATCATAATAATGTAATGTACACTGACGTTATTATTTTTTTATTAGTTAAAACAGTAACTTGAGACTGATGTCCGTGTATCATTTTCATTTAATCATGTGAATATGTTAAATGCGTCTGTTAGTATAAAGCTCAGTATCTGTATCAATCTTTTTCTTTTTCTCAGGATTCATAACTGTTGCAGTTTTACCAGTTTTTCTCACACTGACAAGATACGACTGGGATCTTACATGTGGGAAACAGATGCACTGTAAGTGTTTGAATTTTGATCTGATCCCTGATATAAACCCATACAGAAATCATTATGTGATCATATTGTGATCAAAATATAACTCATTAATGCTCGTGCCTCTGTTTCTTTTAGTCTGCATGAATCTCTTATCTTTAATGATTTTAACCATAGAGCTGAATGAGAGTAAAAATATTTTTAGACTTAAAGAAATGTGTGCAATTGTTTTAGACATCTGAAAGCTGTATATATATATATAAGCAGCGTAGCAGATCTGTTCCACCAAGACCAAATACATTAACATTGTCATATCCATCACCATGCTAAAATGTTCAGAGAGTTGTTTAAACTAATATTAAACTTTTTTTTTTTTCAGGTTCACTTTTGTTCATGAGATCAGTTTGGTTAATTCTCATGTTACTGGTCAATGCCATTATGGTTTATTTCTACATCATAGCACTGGGAACTGAAAAAGGTACTATAATAAAATGCTTATTATATGCTTACTACAATAAGCATATCTTACATTTATGCTGTGAGTTACTAAAGATGGTAAAGGTTTGTTTGTCAATTAATTAACAGATACATTAAAGAAAATTTTACTCAGATCTGATGTATTTGTTGATGTTCAGATCGTATTGGATGGGCCTGTATGATTGCGTTCCTGCAGTTACTCTGGGCATTAATAAACTTCACATGGTCATTTAAATGGGGTACAGTATTAATCATCTGCTCTGATCATCTTCATAATTGCATCACAATGACAAGCTATTATTCTTCAAAACTCATTTGTTTAGATTATTTATAAAAAGTTTCTTGATGAATTTCTATTGTGAAGATACTAGAGGATACATTTACTAGAAGAATGAAGGATTTTAATCAAAAGCTGTGAAGATCAAATTCATTTTTATAATTATAAATGTTGATATTAAACTGCATTTGATCTTACAGGTCTTCACCGTGTTGTTCCTGTGTATGTGTTTGGATCAGTTGGGGTTGTTGTACTGAACTCCGTTACACTGATGACTGAACTGATACTGAAAACAGGTGAGTGAACACTTGAACATCATACAGTGCCTGATTATATTACGCAATTTACATTAAGTCTATGGTAAATACATATTATAAGAAAATATATCAGCTAATACTTTACTGTGAGGCATGAATCAGCTTTAAGTTATTCTGATCAAATTATTCTCATTTCCATAATTTCTAGCAACAATACTGCAATAAAGCCTTATAAGAATCTGCTATAATTTGGAGGTAATATTTAAGTACAAGTGTCTATTGTAAATAAAATACTCTTGTTGATCCTCAGTTAATGGTGATGGAGCAGTTGGGGATCTGAGAGTTGTCGTCTTTTCCTCTGAAATCCTCTTTACTGTATTTCTGATGATTTTACTCGTATTTGAACCTTGTGAGTACAAACTGAACTGTAGTCAGTTGCATTGTCTACGTAAATTAATGATGTTTTTTCTTTTTTTTTTTTGTCTTAGTTAAATCCATGAGTCAGCTATTGTGCCATCTGATGTGTTTTGTCCATCTGTTCAGCCTCTAAATAACTTCCTCCACTTTATTTCTTTGAACACACAGGGATCAAAATGTGTCTGCAATCATGTCAGGTAAGTGTCAATAATTAAATATGATTTAAATAGGATACCGTACCATATTTAATGTAAATCATATTTAATAAACTGCAATATCAGGAGGCATTTCACTTCATATTAATGGTGCACTCAGTAATTTTATCACTATGTTTCTCTGGCTGATATAACAGAAGTATTTATATTTTTTACTGACACACGTCATTGTGAGCGCAACAAGTATTCGTCAGCTGTAATGAACTGCTTCCTCAAAACTAAGTCTGTAATAATAGAGGGATCTGAGATGAGTATTGTGATTATATGATTAAATATTAATAATAGAGGGATCTGAGATGAGTATTGTGATTATATGATTGTGAAAATATCTAAATTCTTATTGTGAATACAGGAGACAATAAGGTCTTTTCGAACTCCAGCTGCTGGATCACAGTATGAGAATTATTGGGTTAGTATCAGAATTGTTATGTTTATTTAAAAATAAGTCAAACATATTCATAATAGTAAACTCTTAATAATAATAATAAATAAATAAAAACATATGTTGTCTAGATCAGTGTTTCTCAGTCCTGCTTCTGGAGAATATCAGCACTGTTTGCGTTTGTCTCCTTTATTTGATACAAACCATTTTGAAATCTGTATGGGGAGGTCTTTCACCCTCATGCAAAATGACTGATCGCACCTTTATTCTGAACTCAGAATGCAGCAGGATCTGATGAAACTCCAGCCAATGGATCAAAGCAGAACACAACAGAATCACATGAAATGAAACTTCTCCTAAAGACTGAAGATCATGAGGCTGATAGGACAGAGGACAGTCTGCCGGATTCAGTGGAATCACAAACATGAACAGCAATGAGGGAGGAAAAAAAGACTCAAACTCTCGAGCATTGACAGTGAGAAATTCAATGGTCTTGACTGTAATGCAGATGATTTTGTGCTGTCAGCTCTTTTTAAAAGTTATTTTATAAATAACTTGAATCATATGCCGGATGTTTAATTGTGATCATTTTAAATTGTGGTAACACTTATGCTGATTGATATATTTCTCTAAGAACTACAGTAAAGTTCGGTTCATCTGCTAATCTAGAGCACAGATGTGGTTTCTTCAGTGTGTTGGTGGGTCAGAAAGCAGTTGAACAGTGTTCAGGCCAGTTCTGTATTCATGTAGTAATAGATCCATGTGATGATAAGTGCATTATCAATGGCTCAAGCCTCAGTTATAGCTCTAAATTGACGTTTTGGAATTAGCTAAAGAGGCTTGGAGGAATTACATATTTCATTTTGGTATAACTTTAAAAGTTTTAATATTATTGTTTCTAAGCTATACAATTATTGCAAGCAATGTCTTTCTGGCACATGCATTGAAATAAGCCAATATTGAATGTGCAGTTACTAAAGAATCAACTTTGTTACATACATATATATATATATATATATATGTGTGTGTGTATGTATGTGTATGTTTTTACAAAAATCAAGTTTACTTAAATAGAACAAACAGAATGCAAAATTGTGTCATTAAAATTCATGTATTTCTTAAATCCATGTATTCATTTTTTTGTTAAATCATAACTGGTTTATCTTAGGTGTTGTTCTTAAAAACAGGTTTAAACATGCTGTCTTCATGCACCATATTGTTCTCTAAACCTAATGTTAAACGATCCAAAGAGATTATAATGTTCAGAAATTATGGACTTATATTTATATTTGTTGCTGTAATTCCAGTTGTATCTGATGGATGTTGTTTTTCTCTCTTTAAGCTGATTCGGATGACAAGGCAGATCTTTAATTGTCCAATTTAAGTCTATGCAAACTGTTGCTCAAGAGCTTAAACATTTATCGGATCTAGGCTTAAGTACAAATGCTTGAAAAGAGTTTGTGCTTATGTATGAATTTCTTTACAGCATTTAATTGCACATAATGCACATATTCCTTCACAATTGTTACGCCTGCCGGTCAGACTGGCCATGATATCCACCAGAGGGCACTTCTCAATACTCTTTTGTTATTTCATCCTGAACTGCATGTCCCATTCACCATATTGGTTTTGTCTAGCCAGAAGAGAACTGGCCCCCAACTGAGCCAACCCGATCTCATGAAAGTGCGTATAAATAGTACGCCAAATAAAAATGAAAAGTCGTTATTTATACGCATTTTCATGAGACCGGGCTCACTGAGCATGGTTTCTTCCAAGTTTTTAAAAAAAAATTTCTCCATTTCTGTCAGCGATGGAGTTTTGGTTTCTCGTTTGGTTGTCGCCTTTGGCTTACTTGGCGATCCTTAATCTTTGGCAAAATTGTCGAGACACTATATGAACTGAGCTGGAGATGGCATCACTGAATTAACGATGGACTGACTTTAACTGAAAAACTTACTAGTTTACTGTTGTTCTATTTTTAGAGCTGCTTTACGGCAGAGGTTAATTTTGATTGCATTATTGACACACTATTTTCCTGTTTTACACTGTAAAGCTGCTTTGACACAATCTGTATTGTATAAAGTGCTATATAAATAAAGGTGACTTGACTTGCTGCGTTTAGATCCTGCACTCATCTTTATTTTGCAGCCAAGCTGTGACAGAAGAACTGACCTCAAAATGGATCTAGCAGCAAAGAAAATCAGTCTCCTCTAACTGGGGAAGCAGTTCCTAGAGAAGCACACACAGGGATTTCTGGGCCTTCACCATCTCGTTCCTTATGATGACAACTGACTGTGTGTGCTTTTCTGGACAAGTCTCAATGCAAAGACAAGATTGTGCTTGGCCGGAAACGAGCCTCTAGGGACTTTAATGGAGTATGTGGAGTGGGTACTCCTCCGGAATAGTTCCCCATTTACCATCTCCAAGAGTGAGGAGCTCCCTCACTCTTGCTCCCTCGGTTCCACCCTATGGCTATGGCTGCTGTGGGCTTCCTCGTCCCTCCACCTCTGCCTTGGTCAGTCATCACTCTGACTTTGCCATGGACTTACGGGCCTTCGTCTGTGACCTGTCCCTCCACCCTATGCCTCTGTCAGGTTCCTTCTTCTCTTCAGCTCTGCCCTGGTCTTCGGTAGCACTGCTTCCACCTCAGTCCTCTGGCGCCCTGGTTCCACCTCAGTCATTCATTGCTGCAGCTCTACCTTGGTCTCCAGGACCTTCAGTGTCCCCGGTATCTACAGCTTTTCGGCTCCGACTCTGTCTCCACCTTCCACACTGTCTAAGGTCCATCGTTCCCTGGTTCCACCTGGCAAGGCTCCACCATGGCTCCTCCCTCGGCTCTTCCATGGGCCTGCACACTGGTACTTCTGTGGGGGGCTCTTCCACCTGCATCTCCACCCTGGCTTTTCCTGCCTCTGTCTTCACCTAGCTTTCTCTCTGTCCAGCATCCTCTTCGCCATGGCTCTGGTTGTCCAGCATCCGGGCTCTGCGTCCCCCACCTAAGCCACCTCCCTCTGCTGGACTTGAGGTCACATGAATGTTCTGTTCTGTTTGGTTTTGTTTTAGTTTTTCTTGTTTGGCCTGTTCCGGAGTTCTTTTTGTTTAATAAACACTAATGTGCTGCATTCTGTCCTGTGATCCTGAGCCCGTCTTTATTTTGCAACCAAGCTGTGACTAATAACTCCTGTTGTCTGTTTCAATAGTGTTTCATTTTTGTGTTGCATTTAGGTCTTTTCAGAGACAGATTTCATATTATGTTGAAGGTAAAACATCTTAACACTTTTGTTTCATTTCTCAGAATTGGTTCATCAGGATTAGCTGCAGTTCATCAGATCTTTCTCTACTAAAAGGAAGAAAGTAAATCAAGTTTCAACATATGCTCACAGACCTTCAATCAAATAATATTTTCAGCTGAACATGGACCTGCTTACATTTGTTTTTGCGGCTGTTATTCTAGTTGTATCTGATGGCATGTATAATATTTTTCTCTTTATGCTAATTCTGGAGAAAAAGGCACAAAATGAATTGTCAGTCAAATTATGTTCAATGTGGAAACACACTAAACTAAATTTTCATTTGTCAAATGTTGATTACTACATAATTTCTATAGTTTGTTTCATGTGTTAAAATGAAATATAAATATTAAGAGCAAATTTAAATGAATCTCCCTTTTATACATTAAACATGTTTCTGATTTATTTAGCTTTTAGCACTTTAATTTATTTGAGACATGACAATGAGATTTATGTCCACAGCTTTTATTAATTTATTCTGTCATAGTTCTAATAGTCCTCTATAATGGTACACCTGTGGACTCACAAATGTGCTGCATTCTGTCCTGTGATCCTGAGCCCGTCTTTATTTTGCAACCAAGCTGTGACTAATAACTCCTGTCTACAGTAACTGTTGTCTGTTTCAATAGTGTTTCATTTTTGTGTTGCATTTAGGTCTTTTCAGAGACAGATTTCATATTATGTTGAAGGTAAAACAACACTTTTGTTTCATTTCTCAGAATTGGTTCATCAGGATTAGCTGCAGTTCATCAGATCTTTCTCTACTAAAAGGAAGAAAGTAAATCAAGTTTCAACATATGCTCACAGACCTTCAATCAAATAATATTTTCAGCTGAACATGGACCTGCTTACGTTTGTTTTTGCGGCTGTTATTCTAGTTGTATCTGATGGTATGTATAATATTTTTCTCTTTATGCTAATTCTGGAGAAAAAAGCACAAAATTAATTGTCAAATTAA